GGGAAAGAGAACACAACAAATAGGTGGCTGGAATGGATCTAGCAGCCTGACCTGGGAAAATTTCAAGAATGAGCAGAAATAAACATGAAAATGTCTCACCAGCAATTTTACAGAGGTTCTCCAGCCCAACCAACACCCCAGCCCAAAGCCTCAGTCCTCCCGTGAACTGGATGAAACAACCACGGAGATTCAGACAGTGGTCACGCTTCTGTACACCCTGACATGAGTGGCAAAGTGACGAGCATAAGCAATTTTCTGGGTCGCTTTCACAAGACGATCGAAGAAACTAAGACACAAAGAGGGTAAGGACTCCTTCCCTAAGGTATTATCCTCCACTTCAGTGTAGCTGAGGTCACACCGAACCCCCATCAGATCAGTCAGATCATATATTCCTTCTAAGTGACTCTGGGTAATAAAAGTCCACACCTGTGTGCATTCTTCCTCCACTTGTGCACAATCATACATTAGAAATAACTTGTTTGACAGAAAGTGCATTTACATAGCTAAGTTCCCATTTGAAATGTGTTAGCAAAAGTTAAAATATAATAAAGCTTAAATTTTTGGCCTTCTTACGGGACAAAATTATAATTTACCTTACTTCTCAAAGATACAATTTTGCTGTAGCATACTAATGCTTTTTATCCACAGAAAATAACCTGAGACTTGATTTCTCCCATAAACACTAAGAGGAGATTCCCTGCCCTATCTAATTTACCTGCTCTACCTATGTCTGCCCTTTGTCCATCAGCAAGTGTCCCCCTTCCCACCTACCAGCCACACTGGCTTTCATCAGCTGGGATAGATATGAAAAGACCAGCCCTGCAGAAGCAGAGAAAAAACCATGCATTGTTCTTCCTTTGCGGCAGGCACACCTACCTGGGACATCTGGGCTGCAGTGTCTCCTTTGGCCCCCATGAAGACCATGGCCAGGGCAGAGGAGATGCTCAGGGGAGATAAGAACACATTCTGTGAGTTGTCTTCTTCACCCAACATTTTTAATAAGTTGATGGCAAAAGTGCCATTTGCTTCCCCAAAGTCATCCATCGGGGAAGGTCTGTTGATGCCAACGGAAGGTCTGTTGATGGATGATACCAAAATGGATCTTGCCCAATGAATCTGAAAAGGAATTAATTTCAATATTAAAACAAATTAACACCTTTGGGTACCAGTGCCACAATTCAACTGTGTCATAAAAACACAACACAGAAGCACACCAGCCAAACCCTCTGACACCAGGTGTGGTCGGCAGAATAACCATACCCCAAAGACATCCACGTTGAATTCCCCAATCTGTGACTACATTATCTTATGTGGCACGAGGGACTTTGCCGATGCCAGCGAAGTAGGAATAATAAGACGGGGAGAGTCTCCTGGGTGATCCACGGGGGCTCACTGGAATCACAAGGTCCTAACAAGAGGAAGGCAGGAGGATCAAGGTCAGAGATGGGATGATGGATGCAAAGATCACAATGATGAGAACCCAGGAACCAAGGAATGCAGGCAGCCTGTGAGGGCTGCACAAGGCAAGGAAACTGATTCTTTCCTTGGGCCTCCAGAAAAAGGAAACAAAACAGTAACTCTGGGGACCTATTTTGGACTTCTGACCTCCAGAACTGTCTGATAATAAATTTTTGTTGCTTTCAAGCACCAAACTTGTGGTAAGGTTTTACAGCATCGATAGGTAACTAATACACTGGTTTACTCACCAACTAAATCCCAGAGCTCATAACTGATCCATCCTTAGCAACAGGACCTCTGCTGAGGCTCGGACACTCTCCAAGACCTGCTGACTCCTAATCTCATTTGTACACTAAAGCTGTTAGAGCAGAGTACAACTGCTCTTTAAATGCAGTTCCTCATGTTGTGACCCAACCATAAAATTATTTTCGTTGCTACTTCATAACTGTAATGTTGCTACTCTTATGAATCGTAATGTAAATATCTGATATGCAGGATGGTCTTAGGCGACCCCAGTGAAAGGGTCGTTCAAACGCCAAAGGGGTCGCGACCCCACAGGTTGAGAACCGCTGTGTTAGAGGATTGGAACTTTAAACAAAATGGACCTTGCCCAATGAGTCTAAAAAGGAATTAATTTCAATATAAAACAAAATAATATCTTTGGGTACCAGTGCCACAATTCAACTGTGTCATAAAAACACAACAATGTGATTTCCAGTCAATAAAATGAGTTGGCATTAAACTAGTTTTCCCTTTACAGGTGGACAGACAAGGTCAGGACTCATATTAAGGTCTCATAATAGGAGTGGCCGAGTTGGCCGCAAAAGCAAGCCTTCTGGTACCAAGTGTGTCATCTTCCTCTTCCTGGGGCTTTGAACACCTGCCAACTCCCTGCTCCACTCCCCTTCCTCATACACACACCCCAATTTGTTCAAAGAGCATCTAAGTAGAACTTTCCTTATTTGGGTTTGGGCAAGGAAATGAACAATAAATGTCATAATTCCCACCTGCGAGCTCCCTCCCTAGGGGAGACACACAGACACAAATGCATGGTTACAAGCCAGCCAGGGGCCCTGTAACAGGAGGATTTACAGAGAGCCATGGAAGACCACAGAACAGCAGAATGAATTTACTTTAGCAGCCCCTGTGGTGAAGATGAGTGGTGAGCTGGCCCTACAAGGTGGGGCAAAAGTTTCTGTAAGCTGGTGAAAGGGGGAGGTGAGTTTTAAGGCTGTGGCTGTGGGATTGGCAGATGCAAAGAATGTAGCAGGGCGACATGTTTGTGTGTGGCCAGGGAGGGGGTCTATGTGGTGTCCTCACAGGGACAGGGTGTGGTGAGTCAGGATGGGCCCCTTGTACCAGGTTTAAAAGTCTGAACTTGAGCTATTGGTTGGAAAGCCATGCATGGTTTTTAAACAAATGCTTTACAGGATATATTGGAATTTTAGAGAAAGACTGTGGCTCACCCTATAGCATGAAAAAAAGGCTGGGGACCCAGCGGGTGGACCACTGCCATTGATCAGTACAGCTGAATACAGAGGAAGCTCACGCACTAGCAGTGATGGCGAACCTATGACGCGTGTCAGAAGTGACACGCGAACTCATTTTTTTGGTTGATTTTTCTTTGTTAAATGGCATTTAAATATATAAAATAAATATCAAAAATATAAATCTTTGATTTACTATGGTTGCAAAGATCAAAAAATTTCTATATGTGACATGGCACCAGAGTTAAGTTAGGGTTTTTCAAAATGCTGACACGCTGAGCTCAAAAGGTTCGCCATCACTGCACTAGAGAGTGAGAGATGGAACTGCCCTGCTGGGGGACTGATCACATCAGGGCAGGGAGCGGCGCGAGTCAAGGATTACACTGAAGCTTCTTAAAGACAACAGACCCAAAGTGGAGTCACTTATGTGAAGCCCCACATCACCAAACCAAGACTTAATTACAGTTTCAGCTCTCCCAGAAACGGAATCTTAAAGCAGTCCTTCAGGGTACCTGATCAGCACTAGTTAGGTCATCTGCCTGGTGGCCCCCTGCCGTCCCTAAAGGAAAGCAACTGCAATAACCCACCGGCCTTTTGCCCAATCCTTGTCCTGGTCCCTTCTGCCTACAAAAGCCTCTCATTTTCTACAGCTCCTTGGAGCTCCTTTCTGTCTGCTAGATTGGATGTGGCCAGGCTCAAACTGACCTTTTGCTCAAATAAACTCTTTTTTAACGTGCCTCAGCTTATCTTCTAATAGACTGCTAACTAATTATGGTAAAGAGGGGCCAGGAGCCACAGGAAGTTCATATGAGGAGCCAGCACGGAATGGGGAAGGTGTACATTCCAGGTGACATGTGTGGAACACACCACACCAACAGAGCAGAACTAAGACAGCCAGGGCGTTGGCAGGTGACACAAGGTGAGCAAGGGTCCTAGAGGGAGAGCTTGGGAGCCACAGCATCCTGACTCCAGGGGAGTCTAGGCAAATGGGATGATATCCCTCAAAAGGTACAGTGGAGGCAGAAGACAAGAAAGTCACCTAGTTCTGGGGAATGTCCAATGTTTGCAGGTAGGAAGAGGAAGAGGGCAGGGACTGCCACCCAGCAATCCGGACATTCTGGGAGAGCTGATTCTGGGAGAGCTGCGACTCTCTCTCTCT